AATATCGCCGGTTACCGACTTGATAACGATCGAGCATATTACGGTACCGCTCCGGTACTAGTCTGTTACATTCCCCGATATACTACCAGCGGAACTGAAATTACCGCACGGTATACCGGTCGGTTATACCGGTATTTTATCAGTGTGAGCAAATAGGAGTACGAATCTAGTTCTCAACTTTCTTTTTCTTGTTTTTTTTGCAGTGTGCACGCAGCTTAATGAGGTACCCGAACGAGTCTCTATAATGTGGAAAACAACCAAGGTTTTCTGACTTTTCTGCGTTTCTTATATAGACTGCCCACCACAACACAAAACGGTGATTGTGTCAAAACGGTTTTTTCTTGTACCGCGGTCCGAAAAATACCGTGCGGTAACTGCCAGTAGAAGAAAAACCCATTATACCGGTAGTTATATCGAACAGTACAATTAACCAGCGGTAATTTATAGACCGGTCGGTAACCGGCGGTATTACGAAAAAAAGTGGGATATGGGGTAAAGAGAACAGTGAATACTAATAAATAAGGGGTAATAATAACTTAAGTAAGGATTAATTTGGCCTTCACTTGACGGACAAAATGCGGGAGAAGGTTTACTGAGTCTTGAAAAATGTCTGAGTTATTCCGCTAAACTTAAAAGGAATATTTTTTTTTCGGAAAGCAATTGCATCTGGTCAATGCATTTTTTGGAGATTTGAGCAAAACGTTTCGGACTAACTCTGAAGGGTAGCAGAGACACTAAAACAATAAAAGTCAACCAGCGTTTTTGAAGCGCGTAAAAAGTCATCAAAACACCTTCGAATGCGTTTCTGATAGAAAAAGATTGCAATCAAAAATTGAGACGATTGTCTGGCCTTCATCTTATATCGCTTTGCTTTTGTTTCTTTAGCTTTGGTGCCAGTTTGTCTGACATTTGACGGTATCAATACATCTATTTATCCTGGTAATCCTAATCACGCCGTTCTATCGAATTACGGTGGACTGAGGTGGAAAAATGTGTTTGCGATGTATGGCATACATCAGTATTCAATGGGCGTTGTAAGCGCGCCGAATGTTGCCTGGGGCCATACCGGCATGCAGATTATGAGTGTTGGTACAAGATTTTCTAAAGTTTCATTTTGTTCGTCAGCTGCATACAAAAATCCATTACAAGTGATAATTATCGAGTTAAGATCAAGCATCGAAGTAAAACGAACACAAGTTAAACTTTTTACGAGCAATCAAACATTGATACAGTTGTTTGACGGATGGCAAAATGTTGACACAATAAGCTTCCAAACAGGCGGTACAACCGGTTTTCAGCTTACAGTTGATAATTTTTGTTTTGTCAAATAATTTGACCGTTACACACGCACTTTTCGTTGTCTGCACTCTATCACGTATCATTCTGTTCGACATAATCAATAATCCTCAATTATATTCATTGTTTGCCACTAATATCGTGGTATGGTGTGTAGTTTCTCTAAACGATTCGGTTTGATCATTTTTCTACTGTACAGAACACGACGATTAGGCATCCCCGCATTCTAGACTTTCTGTCAAATTTGTTGAACTTCAACGTGAAATTTTCAGCATATTATTAGGGGCAAAAAACACATGACTGGCGTTCAGTGTAGTGATTATACGGAATTTAGCGGCACGTCACAGTTAGCGGACTCACACTTTCTACTCTAATTTCTGGTTTTTGCATTTTTGAAAGAATTAAGCTCGATTTTCTGTAAAATCGACTTGAGAAGCCCTGAAGCATATGATCCCAAGCATAAAATTCCATAAGAAATAAGCCAGCTGAAGAAGCGTCCGCTTCTCCATTGACTGCAGATAGCTAAAAGAGTAAAATTTACCCAGAAGAAAAATCTTGAATGCAGATCTTGAATAAATCTTTAAAGATTTCTCAAGTTTCGCCCCAGATCTTTTAGAACTTGTGCAGATTCGAAATCTGTCAACATTCTGAATGGAAGGCAGTGCTGCAGATTTTTCACAAGTGTTGCATCAGAATCTGCCGTGCTAAATCTTGAGCAGATTTTGTCAAGATATTTCAAGAATTCTGAAATGATTAGTTTAATACGCAATAATCAGAATCTTCATTAACAGATTTGGGAATTTGAAAGAAAATCTTAACTTTATTTTCTACTTTATATTTTTATTTTTTTCTACTGTGTCACTACAGTGCAAGCTCTACGATACTATGCATATAGTACCAGAGCTGTTGAAAGTACACGAGCAGCCATACATTCAAATACAATGTTTGAGTGCATAATGCAGCTGGTATTTATGTATACTGAATGATAAAAAAGAAAGGAAAAGAAGTTCCTGTAGAGATTCGAACTCTGTATATAGAGATTAATAAGCTTCTCCGTATGCGACTGCACCACAGGAACACAACTAAAAATATATATTCGTCGTTCTGTTCTGATTAATTAATGAATTGAACTTGAAAAAGTTAAATTAGATTACTATAATTAAGATTATTTACCATGAGGGAAGCATTTCTCAGAGTTGAACCTCGAGACAATAATGCAGAAAATTCAGTTTCCAATACTTTTTTCTCTGCGTGCAACGCAAACGCTGCCTTCATACTGCAAAATCAGAAGCAATTAAAAGAATCGCGTTTTCATCATGAAGAAAGCTTTTCCAAATTTGTGCCAAGGAAAAAAAGTGTTGAAAATTGAATTTTACATACTATTGTTTCTAGGTTCACCTGCGAGAATTGCTTCCTTTATGGAAAACCAAGTTACTGCATGCATTTTCCAGCTAGCTTCAACTACTATCCATTCAAAAACATGGTGCTAGTGATTGTTTTATAATAACTTTTGGTAGAGATGAGATAGCGACCTGCGGTTTTCAGTTTTGAAAACTAGACACCTGTGCGAATTTCAATGCAAAACCGCAGGCAACACCACACATAAAGACTTGAGGAAGGATTTCGTCTTCCTCAAGTGCAATACTTTATATAATACGAATAAAGCGAAAAGTTTTCTTTCTAACTAATAAAAAACTCAAAAAGCAACCTACCTCGTGCAGTAGAGTCTACTCTTCAATACTGCAACCTCTAAATTACACTTCGTTTTTACGTAATACCGAAACCAAGGGTGCTAGAGTGATTCAAGAAGATACCGTAATTTTTTTTTCCGTGTCAATGTTAATATTATATGCTATTCGATGGAGTTCTGTCTGTTAGGTACAAATATGTCCATGGTTTTTCCCGGGAATGTGTGGGAAATGAAAAAGACTCAAAATACTCGGAAATAGTCATTTTCAACTACTGCGCTTTTTCAATGTTTAACCCACAACTCATACAAACCATCTCCCGTTCTCAATGTTCTAACGCAGTTTTGTTGGCTAAATCGAGATGTTTTTCACCGAATCCTCATTGCGGTCCTTCAGATTAATACAGAGACGTATGTTTTACTACCATAACAAAAGAAGGTATCTCAGTTAAAAGGAGTCTTTTAATAACCCAAGTCTGACCCAATACCCAAACCCAAGTTCCAGACTGGTTTGGGTTTGTAACATACCTAGTCGTGAGTATAACACCATGGTTGTCGTGGGATCCGTGTGCACCCGTACTCCAAAATTTTGTCCGTAAGAACTATTCACAAAATTTGATATGGCTCTTGTGCATGAATAGCAGATTGACAATTAGGAAAGAGGGTGGCTCGAGAAGCCAAGTACTGGTGGTAGGAAAAAAGCCCTGTAAGACGGGTCCACTTGGACCCGTAGACAGTCGTCAATGGGTACGATTTATAGCATTAGCAAAATGAACAGCGAATACCGTGTTAGAGAAAATTGTGGTAAACCAACTGATCATTCAACAATGTATAAACCATCAATATTAATGCATTTTCCTGGTGGTTGAACATATTCTGTTATTCCTAAATAGAAAGTAAACTTTGACGAAAAACATGCTAGATTAGGTGAAGTGAATTTCGATGGACAAATGTATACAACAAACGCTGTCTGGCAAGAAGTTTACGAAGTTTCTCAATGAATCAAGGCTGGTTCTGGGAGGATATTTCTACCAGTTTATTGATACCATGCTTATTCGATAATTGAATAAATCAATATTGAAATGCTTCAGCTTTATCAGAGATTGTGGCATAATGGTCTAAGCGGGTCTATAGCAGATAGTGCACTACGATGCTTATCCCGATTTGTGTGCTAACAGTTATAAATTACACTCATTATAAGAAGAAGACGGTTGTCGACAATTAAATAGCGAAAATTCGATCATGCAATGATCATATGTTTATGAGAGCTCACCCTTCACTTTGTCTATATTTGATTTGTAAACAGTTTTATTCAATTCAATTCCAATTAGTTTATCAATAAGAGAGCATGGATAATCGTACAGTTTTGTCAAACGTCTAATTTCATTCTGAATATTACGTTTTCCGTTATAAACATGCACAAGAAAGGACACAAGGCACAAAAAAGATACATAGGATGAAAAGAGAAATAATAACGCTCGAGTTATATACTCGACGGTAATCCCATGTCATCAAAACCGGTTAAATACCGCCCGGTTACCGCTCCGGTACCAGTCTGTTACATTGCCCGATATACCACCAGCGGAACTGAAATTACCGCACGGTATACCGGTCGGTTATACCGGTATTTTATCAGTGTGAGCAAATAGGAGTACGAATCTAGTTCTCAGCTTTCTTTTTCTTGTTTTTTTTGCAGTGTGCACGCAGCTTAATGAGGTACCCGAACGGAGTCGAAGTGCAAACTTCGACGAGTCTCTATAATGTGGAAAACAATCAAGATTTTCTGACTTTTCTGCGTTTCTTATATAGACTGCCCACCACAACACATTTGTTGGAAGATTGTGAAAAACACAGCGGGGGCATAAATATAGTATAAGCTGCCATTAAAATCGAAAGAATGCATATTTCGTGGCACAATTGGCCAACCTCAAAATTACAAGGAATTCTTCTAATGTTAAATAAACCGAAATCAATTCAGAAAAAGCTTACCAGTAAACATAAGTAATATCCATAATTGTTAATAACAATAAACTTCAGTCGGATACAGTTCTTTAATTTGTTTTACCAGATTTTCAAAAGGCTGGCCTCCAAATTTTTGTCGCCACATGAATTCCGTAAGATACGTTTGTAGGAGTGTTACCGGCATACCCATCATACTCTTCTTTTTTCTTTTCGCACACATCCACATATTTTCCACATTTTGTGTGTGCACCGCTGTTTCTGGATCCACAAAATTTAATGTATGGTTGACTGTATAATGTTCATATTGGTTAACATTTGTATTTAACGAGCTATATGCTCTCCATTGATCACTGTAAATCGTCGTACTTAAAATTATACTAAGTGTTATTGAGCAGAAATGTAAATGTAGTTGACGTACCTGGTTTACTGTTGTATAATGGGCAACAGTGTACCAGCATCATGACGATCTACCGTGACGGCAAAACATTCCCTGATGTCTCTATCAATCCCACCAAATACCCACTGGTTTTATGCCACCCGCCCACGATTGTATTTCCGTTTCGTCCACGCGCTTTCGTCGATTTCCACCACATGTTCGACACCACCAATTTCGGCCGGGTACCTTAAAAAGAATTCAGCGCAGATATCACGAAGGAAATTTTTCCAATCAACTATAGTGGACTCACTCGAGAAATTACAATGCCGACGAAGATGTTCATGGGTATCTTCACCTTGTGACCAATAATAAATTAAATCCAGTATTTGCTGTATTGTTAACTTTGAATTGGAAAAGAACGTGCCGTCACGAATAGATCGAGTTAATTTACAACCTTTCGAACGACAACGCCATTGATATTCTAAAACACAATGAAAATTATAAACTACCTTCGGAGGTTATATCATGTTACTGATTACTTACTATCTTGCGCTCTTGAATATTTACTCATGTACCAGTTATGATGGCCATTGGAACACGGCTGACTTGGACAATACGGTATTAATCCCACTGATTGACAGAACAAAATACAATCTTCCAACGTACTAGTAATACTGTGCCAAATGTGTGCAGTCATTTGATCGACGGGGGGTGGTAAAGGATAAATTGACATTTTCGAACAGTTAAGGAGTGTACTATCCTCTTGGCACATGATATTATTTATATAATTCCCTTGACTGAAAGTCTTGGGTCATACAAACGAAATGTCCGTCCGTGCGCAACAGTAGAGCAAGCTTTTTATAAAGCCTTTAAAATCTGCCATGCGATCATGTTCGCACAAGCAAAATAGTCGGAACTCGTTGATGATATTAGCGCTAGGGTGTATCATCAATGAGTACATCCACTAGTAGTGGTCACGATTTGGACTCGAAATGGTGATTAATCGTGCTTTTTCTGCTCGGTTCCATAGTGACAAGCCAAAAAAAATCGGCGATTTATTGCGCGATTAACCCTGATATATCGCACAATGAATCATCGATCTTTTTGGCTTGTTACTATGGAAACCGAGCAGGAAAAGCACGATTAATCACCATTTCGAGTTCAAATCGCGATCAAGCGGCAAAAGTTAGGCGATTTTGATGACATGGGAAGTAATGTCCAGAGTACCTAGAGTTTCTTGCAAGTAAAAAAAGGTACTTATCAACTAATTTAACAAGTATCAGTACTAGATAAGTACTTCGTCAAGTGTTTGGCAGGTAACCTGGTAAGTACTTGCGAAATATATGCAACTATCCGAAGTTCTTCCAAATACAGGTATAAAATCTAAACATACGTGACAAGTGCTTAGCCAAGTACTTTAGAAAATTTGCAAGTAGCTAAGTACTTGATCTCAAGTGCATTCACTAGGGTAGAATTCAACCCTTTTAGTGTTACGATACATTCTCGTACGCGTTCTTTATCTCGCTCTCGACTGGGAGATATCTTCTTTAATATGGCCAATGACTTCTGATAATATTCCAAAGTAGGGATGTTAATTTACTTTTATTGTTCATTTATAATAATGCATAAAAGTAAATGAATCATTTATATTTAAAAAATAAATATAAATAAACTATTTACTTTTATAAAATAAGGATAAATTTTTTTTTTATATTTATTTATATTTATTTTTTAAATGTAAATGATTCATTTACATTTATTTTTCCAAAGTGACACTGAATTAACACCCCTATTCAAAAGCAAGAAGGTTTTGACCATTTTTCTTGTATATATTCCCGAAAACCTCATAATTATCAGCAACAGCAGGGTGATCAAATAGCATTTTACTTTTAAATAACTTCATCGACTTTGAACAATGATCAATAGCTTCATCATTATCACCTTTTGCGAAACTAACACGACCTAAACTGTTAAGAACATTTGCACATTCTGGATCCTCACATAATGAACACTTCTCATATAGTTCCATCGATATAGTGCAATATTCAGTAACCAAATCAAAATCCCCTTTCATATAATAATACTATCCGCTCCCGTTGTGTAAACTGGCAACATCTTTCATATTCAATTTTTCCAGTAATACTAAAGCTTTCGCAAAATACTCTACACCTAAATCATAATCTTGTATTTGTCCTCCGAGCTACGCAATTTTCACATGCATCATTGCGATATTTGAATCGTCACAATATTCTTCATATATTTTCAAACATTCGTTGAAGTGCAGCAAAGCGAGATCGTATCTATCTTTCTCCACATAACATGCTCCGGTTCTATACTGCAGCTCAGCAGTTACAGC